CCATATTTAACTTGGGTACTGCTTACCATGAATTAAAGATAAATGCAATATTCATAGGTTGGAAAATGCAGCATGGATGCACAAACCATTTGGCACTTATACGAATAGTTTCATGGCTTTTTAACTGTGATGGACATTGTGGCCCAGAGGTCTCTGATGCAAGATAAACTTTGGACTTTGTATGAAGTACAGAATGGAAGTCACTAGGAAGTGTTATGCACTAAAGCAAAAAAATGGTAAAAGATTTTTATGCTGTTTAAATATCAAAATTTGAAAATTGGTATAAGCACTATACTGAGTGCTCTGCTTCAACGAAAAATCAGACAAGCCTGGAAAACTTCACTAAATACTTATAGGTGCTCCATTACAGATAATAGCCCTAGAAATTATTATCCTTTTCTAGAGACCAATAAAGTAATTGATATATGCTGCTCATGGTAAATTAGTTTTCCAAGTGGGCCAAAACCTATCCATTGATTGATAATCGAGTGCAGTGTATTGCTGATATAGTTGCTGGACAGTGGATAATACAACTTGGAGCACCTGGAAAATCTACATGAATCAAGAAGTGCCAACAGTTAGTTGTTTACAGAATTACGCAAAGTGTGATTTGTTGCGAATAAGACATGCACTTCACAGTATCGTTCTAGATTTGAATGTTTGGCTAAATGTATTTTACATACTGTCAAGTGTATGCTTACAACTTTTCTGAATCCTGATTAAACTGAGCGAGAACATCTGTTTGTTTTATAATGGATTTTTGACTATTTGACAATGAAATTCTACTATGGTAGGAAGCATATGCCACAGCCCTTTACAAAGAAGAATGTTCATAGAACAGATCTGATAAATGATGTAGATCAAAGAAACATGTTATTTTGAGAAAAAGAGACTTCAATGTTTTCCATGAAAGAAAGAAAACTAATACTACACAGTGTTTAGGAAAAGAAGCTTAAAAAAAATACTCCCCAAACTACTTTGGAGAAACATTTTCAACCTCAAAGAATAGTTTATTGGTGCTAAAAATATTTTTCTGATAAAATGAACCATCACAATAAAATTGGGCCTATTTTTTGATACTGTTAAAAACATGATACACAAAAATTTGAAATTGACAAAGGCTCATAACTGAAAAATTCATAAGCTTCCGATTACACCTTAAAACCAACAGCTATTTTTCACGAGAATGATCACAACAATCCCTTTCGAAAGTCAAGTTTTCTGATACAGTTGCAATGAAATTCTGTACTTTTGATCTGTTTAAATGTGGTATTGGATGGTGATATCCAAGTACAGTGAGGTCTGCAGAAAGTTTTTTCTTTTACAAAACCTATTACAGTAGAAATTGGCTATGTGACATCAGATTGGGGACAAATAGTGGTTCAGGAGATAGTTCCAAGGAATAGAGAGTACTTTTTATACATTTTCAGCTATGGCTTACATTGAAATATCGTACTATGAACTTTCATTGACATACACTAACTCTGATCTGTTGTTAAAGTTTATTGAATCTAATATTTATTGATCTACAATAACTTTGAACTTTTAATTACTTACAGTAAGTTTGTTGTGATTGAACATAAATTGTTGTCTTGGTTATTAGCCTATAAGATCACCTACTTTTAACTACTAATTAGTTCGTCTTTTTATTATTAGATACTAACTAGCAACTGATTTACATCCTATATTTCAACTGCTAATCTGCTGCCATTTTCAGGAAAGTCCTGAGAAGGATTATCTATAGTAGCAAGAGATTTCATTCGAGTCTGGGTCTTTTTTCTTCTTTTATATTACTCTTTATTCTGTTTTGTTCATACCTAATTTTTATTGTTATTCCATCATATTATTTAATATTTTTCTTTGATATGGTGTTTACTACAAATAGCTTAGTATTACAAAGGCTTGTATGTGATGAATGCTGTTTGTATATTCTTTGAAGGTGTTTGAAGATACCCTTATCATAGGAAACTATGGCTGTATATCGATAATGTTCCTCCTCCTTATTACTAGTGTTTGTCTTCTTTATCGGTTGTTCAGGAAATTCATTGTCACAAAAGGATCATAGTGATTTGATTTTTCTCATTCATTCGAGCATTTTCTGAATAATGAACCTAAGCAGTCTACGACACTTGTCTTCATGCTACTGGGAGTGGTTTGATTTATAATCAAGATATTTATCAGGATCTCGCCGTGCACGAGCTATGTTTCTTCCTGACCAGTACTTCTAAGAATGGAAGCTTGATTACTGTTTTCTATTTCCATGTTTGTCTTCTTAGATGATTCATGAATTTGTAATCTTATCTCGATATACTACATAATTCGTCTATGTTTCAGGTTTATGAACAATTGTTTCAAGGGCTGCCTTATCTTTAGTTAGAGGATTCACAGTATTATTACTTATTCTGTTCATTTATACAATGAAAGTTTATCCTATTTTGGAATGAGACTGTATTAAGTTATAATATATACAACAACCTGATGATGACAAAACCTTGTCGAAACGTTATACATCTGCTGTTGTGTTAAATTTATATTAAAATTTTTCTTCATTACCCATTCAAGCCGTCTCCAACCATTATTAGTCTCAAAGTGGGTTCCTCGTCATCGAATATTCATTTTTATCTATCATCTAAGGTTTTTTACACATCCGGAAGAAAAAAAAACTCTTACTTAGATAAAATTATTATTTCGTTTACCACAATGAACATTTTTATGATAAAGTCTCTTAATAAAAATACAAACAAACTGAAGAAAAAGGAAGAACACTGATGTCAAACGAATTTGCATCCTCATTCATGCTGATATTTTTGTGTGAAATCTACGTCTTTTAGTCACAAAACTACGTGTTTTGGTCTTTCTTTTATCTATTGCGTTATGACGTTTTGTGAAAAATCTGTACGTGATGGAGAAAAATGGATATCATTTTCGGATTCAGCGAACAGAAATTACTGTAGCACGTGTAAAAATTTCAAAACAATAAAACCATCGCAGGCCTGCGTAACTGAACTGAAATGTTTACACACTCTTCTTCTCGGAAAAACCTTAAGGGACTGAATAAAGAATGTAGTGTTAAAAATACAATAAGCTTAATACTATTGTCTCTTGGCAAATATTATACTCATAGTGCGAACGTCAACAAAGGTGTTCACCATGACAAATAAATTACGTGTTTTATTTCAGCTTTTTAAAAGGTTAAAATCTGCATGTGTGACGAAATCAAAGCTAACAAATTTTGCTATAACATAATATTTATTTTGTATACATAAGTTAAACATAGTTTGTCCAACCCTAAACCCTAGTCATATAGAAGATCTTTCATTACACTTCTCACTACAAAATACGTTGTCATTCTATGTGGAGACAATCATGATTATCAAAAAATAATAACACAACAGTATTTACTAATGAGAAGTTGATGGTTATATAGAAATCAAAATAATATACGTAACTGAAATATTGTTTTACGTTCAAGGAAGATGTACATGAACCAAAATAAATTATATTTCTCCTAAAAAATTAGTAACCAATGCTATTTGTCCAGCTAGTAAAGAAAAAAAATTAATTTCAGCTTATCTTACAAATCTATAGGACAGGTGGTTCATAGCAGAGCAAAAAGTTGGATATTCCAAATGCTTTTATATTTGAGACATTATGTCATTTTAATGTTTGCATATATTTTAATGTTTGCATATAAAAATAGTCTTAAGGTGTGTAGTATGATATATAAACTGAATATTACATTTCATATTCTTAAATGCAATATTAATTTTTATATAATATAATACTACATACCTTAAATGAATCAATACTGCAAATGATTGTTATGACAATTAATATAAAAGAAAGTAAGAGAAGTTAATAAAGGACCATAAGGTTGGCACGTGAATATCGCTTTTATAAACTCCAGAAGTCAACGAAGCTCGTATAAGGATAAAAGTGGCAATAGTGTTTAGTACATTTCAGAACTGGACAGGCGTAGTACCTTAACACTTGCGGAAAATTCAATTGCTAACTCAATATATTAATATTCAAAACAGACGTAAATAAAATTGATAAAAATTAAAGTTCGCTAACTTAATCTAGCTCATACAGAAACAGTTGTTGTTCAAGCAATTGATGATATAAATCTGTCATATCCTAGCCGGCCTAATGAGCTCTGGTGTTGTCGAATGGCCTCGTCAGTACTGGATATAGAAGATACAGTGGTTGGCATATTATAATATTGTCCTTAAGTCATCAGTCAAAAGTACGTTTTTTTACACAAAGTCTTATTGATTTTTAATACATGTTGTCCTTAAGTTATCAATCAAAAGTACATTTTCTTACACAAACTATTATTGATTTTTAATATATCTTGTCCTTCAGTTGTCAGTCAAAAGTACGTTTTCTTACACAGAGTATAATTGATTTTTAATACATCTTGTCCTTAAGTTATCAATCAAAAGTACATTTTCTTACACAAACTATTATTGATTTTTAATACATCTTGTCCTTAAGTCATCAGTCAAAAGTATGTTTTCTTACACACAGTATTATTGATTTTTAATACATCTTGTCCTTAAGTTATCAATCAAAAGTATGTTTTCTTATACAAACTATTATTGATTTTTAATATATCTTGTCCTTAAGTTGTCGGTCAAAAGTATGTTTTCTTACTCAAAGTATTATTGATTTTTAATATATCTTGTCCTTAAGTTATCAATCAAAAGTATGTTTTCTTACTCAAAGTATTATTGATTTTAATATACATTGTCTTTAAATCATTAATTAAACGTATGTTTTCTTAAGCGAAGTATTGTTGATTTTTGAACATGTATATGGATGTACATGAGCACATGTGTTTAATACAATTACTATAGATACTTATTTTCCACCCTATAGAATAAATATAACTTATACTTTTTCATGGAGTTTTGAACTTGTAGTCAAATATTATACTTTAAGAGATTAATTTTCTATCATGTAAAACTTCAAAATAGTTTTTTCAATAAAAAAATATGCATGTAATTAATTCATTTATTACTGAACACTTCTCTTTCGTATACTTCCTGAATTATTTTTCTTGCAGACGGTCAAATGCATGAGCTTCGTTGTATTGATTCTGACCAAAACATAGAGCCACCTGCCTGTCACATTCACATATAGCTCCAGCACAACGATCGTTGTCTGATCCTAGTAAAGGAATAATATACTTGATATACTGTTGTCTAACCTCCACATAATTGGTTGTGTTATCAAAGCGATACGATATTATACGACTTACTATTCAAACACATCCAATACAAAGAACAAATATTCGTTTGACAATAGTGTACGGTGTACAGTTTTACGCAAATACAAAGTACATTTAATTCTATACAAATATAAACACATCTTATTTCGATATGGCTAGGCCATTATAAATGTTCTACAGATACTAAATAAAAGTAAAAACTTCTAGAAAAAATTTGTATTATTTCAGAAGAAATTGAGTTTGTTGTAATTAAGCACAAAGCTACACAATGGGCTATCTGTGCTCTGCCCACTACGCGTATCGAAACCCGGATTCTAGCGTTGTAAGTCCACAGACATACCGCTGTGCTACAGGGGGGGGGGTAGAAATTGATAAACGTAGGCTTTACAGCAAATATAAAGAAATAATAAAGCCATATTAATGTACACACTATCATTTATGATCCAACAATATATAGTTTGAAAAGTATCTAAACAAAAATTATAGAACCATGTTCTAAATAAATACTAAAACCATTTTTTTAGTAAGAAACCAGACAGAATTAAGTTTAAAATACAAAAAAATTGAACAATTTTATTTTAAAACAAATGGAGACACCGAGGAAAACACTAAACTATGTCGAAACGTTTGTATGTTTTTAATCATTTTGTTTTATTGAAATTGTTTTAACCTTTTGTGTTTTAAACTTTTTTTTTCGGTTTGTCACTAAAATGTGTTTTCATATTGGCTACCTCCGCTTTTTAACTGACCTTTACATATTATAACTACAAAACAAGTGTTCTCTAAAAAAAGGTTATACGATGAAGAATTATTCAAAAAAAGAACGTACATTGTACATTTATGATATAATGTCTAGGACAGCGTGATTAAAAAACGTGCGGTAACAATTATAGTATTTCTTGTGTGTATTTTTTGAACAAACTTATATGCCTACGTTTTCATCATTCATACAAAATAACGGTATTAGAAAGTTATTGTATGATTCGGTAATTTTCTGCACATCTTTCATATCTCCCCTACGTTGTTATTTCTAATTCTCGTGCTTGCTCAAATGACAAAAAGCAAAGCTTGCCGCGTTAATGGATTTTTCATTTATATAACGAAGGTTTGTACAACTGCACCATGGCACGGTGCTGTTGCCGCTCTTCTTTTGATAATAAAATAAAACCTCAAGGTAGCAAAAATTATGGATGTATATAAGCCAACGACTAATACGTCAAAACTTATATAATGTCGGTTCGCTACAGAATTACACAAAATACGAAGAAAATTCTTAATTTCTATGCCAGTTTTATTACACAGAATTTTAATGGTACTAAGTCAGTTTTACTTAAAAAAATACACCCAAAAATTGTTTTACTTGCTTTGTCGTACAAAAATCTAACAGAAGAATTCTTTTTTAAAAGAAGACAATAAAATTCTACTTGGATTTATCAGACAAGTATCGAAGACTAATCGTAATTGGTTTTCTTCTAAAGTTACCCAAGCAAAATAAATTGTAAAACTATCTTCTTGTTTCATCACACAGAAATGGGTTGAAACTAAATTGGCAGTGTGTTCTTCCTGTACGATTTCGTTGAGAATCTTTATTTATAAAACTATAACTGTGTTATAGTACACAAATGCAACTGATGGAGTTAAATCTATATAAATGTTCTTATAAAATTTCAAAGAAAATTTTAAACAGTAAAATTCCATATTAGTTCATCACCTAGAAACATTATGAGAGTAAACTGTGTATTTCAACACACATATATATATTGTGTTCTTGTTAAAGGTATCAGTCGAGAACTTTTATAAAAGTCTTGCTACTAAACCGAAATCAGATCAGTAAGTCGATGTCATCCTGCATATAATGTGTCACATCCCTCGTGATGACAGACTAAATTAATAACCAACTTTTATCTTTATATCAGAGAAAATATGTTGCACGTGAGACTTATGAATGTGGACTGTACATCAGTGAGCAACAGCAGAATTAACTGAGACACTACAATAAACAAGAAGTGAAATCGACACAATTTTCTTTTTACCTTAACGACCTTAATCCCAATTAGTTTGGAGTCGACCAATATTTTTTTGTAAGCCAATAATTTTTAAATGCGGATGGCTGGCCCAGTCGGCAACCATGTGGGACGAGTATGTTCGGTGATGGGGATTCGAACTCGCAACTCTCAGTTTACGAGTCGAACACCCTAACCATCAGGCCGTCGATACAAATATTTAATTAATTTTTTTCCGCGAGTAGAAAGCGGCAGAACATTCAGCTCTCTAAATGGCTGTCCTGCATAAATAATAAAATATATTAATGGGTAATGTAATATAACTACAACCAATCACATTAAATATTATCAAAAAACAAAATCTTTAGAGAATACATATATAAATACATTCCAAATATGCTTAGACAAGAAAGTGAATGGAGAAATCCTTCCTAGAATTTAAAAGGAATACTTGTCGAAGGATAAGTTTCCGGAATTAAGGACCTTGCAATAAGTAGAAAACTACGTGAATCGTCAGTTTTTAGTAATGTGGTTTCATGAGCTTTTCTGAAATTTACTTTGGACATATGTAATTTAATATAGTTTAGAATATCATCGATATGAGAACATTGTCCTCGTTTGACACATTTTTATATTCCACTTGTATATGCACGTAAAAGCTCTAACATTCCGCGATAAAACTCTACTGTAAATGTACTCACCACAAACGATATCACGTGTTATACTCAGAGTAAACCACCTGTAGTTGGCTTTGTAGACATTAACGTTTCTACATTCTTCATTCGATGACACCACTCCATAACACTTGTCATGAGCCATACAACACCTACATGTAGAAAATTAGAAATACAGAACACGCAAAATAAAACAATCCGGGAAAACACAGGAAGTTAATGCTAGAATAAACGTTTTGGCTGTCAAACAGGAAGTTACGAAAAAGTTAAATGAAATATTACAAAACAAATATTTCGTTTACACGTAAATACAGCTATAGCGATATAAAATCTAATATATATATATATATGTGTATGTTACAATCACTATATGGGAGAAATAATTATGTCGTCAAAGTATCTATCAAATGACAAAAAGGATACACAGAGATATAGAAATAGAACGTCACTTCCTGGTTAGGTAAAGCCAAGGAGAACAGCGTAATTGAGTGCTGAATCATAGGAGCCAAAAAAAGCTGAAGACAATTCCTAGTTCGTAGAAAACGTTAGAAGGTTGTAGTGAAGGAGCGTTATAGAACAAGTAAAGGAAAACAGGTTTTTAACGACAATGACGAGGTTCTGTTTAAAACTGATATACTTGTCTAAAATAATGACTGAACTTTGATTACAACCGATGTACAGTACTATGGCCAGTTTGTGCTTGTGAATAAAGAATTTCTAATTTGAGACTACATTTGTATTTGCTCGTTTTTCCTCTACATTTTCAATTTATTCTAACACTAACAGTCCTGTAAGTGCCTTTTGTGAAAACTTTTGGCTTTTATGCTGGACACCGGTGAACCTGAATACCACATGTGAATCTAATACTTGAATGTTATACTATTCAAATAACGTAATTACTTATCTCAGTTATCTGGATGTTATTGTAGCTGAAAAATAACAAATGTATTAACATCAGATAGTCTGCTGGGCACTGTCTCTCAAACTGAGCTCCCCAGGACTTCAGCCGTAGACTTGAGAACTTATAACGCTGATGCAGCGGACACAGCACGGATAGCTCATTGTGCAGCTTTGTGCTTAGAATCAAAAACTCTTTTATTGATTTAAAAATAAGTTAACTATAGATGACGTCACCAACGTCACCATAAACGCCTCCACTAAACATGAAATGAGACTCATACTGATACAGTGTTAAAAGTCGAAAGCAGTTGAAACATTAAGCCTATTTTTTGGTTTCCGGAAGTCTAAATGAAGAAAGAATTGTTATGAGTTATATGTGGCGTATAGCGTGATGTCTAGACCCTTGTATCTCAATGTATATATGCTTTTCAAGCCATTAAAAAGCAGATTATTGAAGAAAAAATAAGTTAGCCAATTGAATCAATAATCAGCTAACAACTCTTGGTGATATGATGGTGGTGAGAATATTCAATAGTAGAATGTTAATGGAGTCAAGTGTATATGTATATATATATATTATTTACCATTCTCTTCTACACCCATGTACCACAATTTACTTTGTTGTTATTTTTATTTTATGTTAGCTTGTTTATTTGTTTGAAGGTCAGTACATAGTTACATAATGTTCTGCCCACCACGAGTATCGAAGCCCGGTTTCTGGCGTTGTAAGTCCACAGACATGTCGCTGTGCCACTGGGAGGCGTTTATGTTAGCATTTCCATTATATGTAGTAGTGGCAAAGATTGAATTTCGAAATCCATTACAAGATTTTGTTGATAGAAATCGTAAACTCACCAACATTTTTATAACTGAGATTTCTCATTGCGAAAATTATACAGAAAATTCATTCAGTTCTGTGGAAAATTCAGCAACGTTCTTGCTAAACACTATGGATTTAAAAGTTTTACAGAGTATCACAACTGCTTAAAAAGTTTCACGTCTACATTTTGATTCCTTGGGATGGTGTTTGGAGTAATAGTAAACAGCTTTAGTGTATTGACCACTACTGATTTTACCAACCGTTGGTTTAGGTTATTATTATTATATATAGTTAATATTCACTAAGTTTGACATTACATCATTAGTTTAGTTAGATTAGTTTTCATGTTGACTTTTTTGTCATATTACGTCTTGTGCATTTGTTCATACAATGTATTATTTATTATAGAACTTTCGTATTTACAGAAGCTTGTTGTGTTTACTTTTTGGCGTTTAGAGTCTCCTGTAAATGTTTGTTACAGGAAGTAGTTGAATAAGACTGGTGGCAAATGTTTAGCCAGTGGTTTTCTTCTTATTACTTTTAACATTACTACATTATAATGCTCATGTCAAGTATTATTTTTTATTTATTCTGTTGAATCTTCATAAACACCAGTGTTTGTTTGGGCCGTGGGAAAGTTGATGATTCTAACCCGACAAGGTTTAAACTAAAAATATATAGTTTTAATTGTTACAGTTAGAATATACATTGAAGTTCTACAGTAGAGATGATGTAACTAGTTTTCTTTGATAAAGTGCGGTGTTAGAGAGAACAAGTTTTCAAAAATATATACATCTATGACAACACATTTATAGACAATAACTATTGTTTGTTTCCAATGGTTCAAGACAATAACCAGTGTTTGCTTCTTTATCAACGACTATGGCTCAAGACAAGAACTAGTATTTGTCTCCTATGGTTCAAGACAATAACTAGTATTTGTTTCCTCATTAACGACTATGGTTCAAGACAAGAACTAGTGTTTGTTGGTTTCCTCATCAACGACTATGGTTCAAGACAATAATTAGTGTTTATTTCCTCATCAACGACTATGGTTCAAAACAAGAACTAGTGTTTGTTTCCTCATCAACGACTATGGTTCAAGACAATAACTAGTGTTTGTTTCCAATGATTCAAGACAAGAACTAGTGTTTGTTTCCAATGGTTCAAGACAAGAACTAGTGTTTGTTTCCAATGATTCAAGACAAGAACTAGTGTTTGTTTCCAATGATTCAAGACAAGAACTAGTGTTTGTTTCCAATGGTTCAAGACAAGAACTAGTGTTTGTTTCCAATGATTCAAGACAGTAACTAGTGTTTGTTTCTTATGGTTCAAGACAGTAACTAGTGTTTGTTTCCTCATCAACGACTATGGTTCAAGACAAGAACTAGTATTTGTTTCCTATGGTTCAAGACAAGAACTAGTGTTTGTTTCCTCATCAACGACTATGGTTCAAGACAAGAACTAGTGTTTGTTTCCTAGTAAGGTAGCTGGCTTGTTTATTTGTTGCTGCTTTCGTTATTAACAAGTAAAGAAAAACTTTTCAAATAAGGAAGTAACTGTAGGGATGACTGATATCAATCCTTCAGAAACAGTGCAAACAAGATAGTAGGGAAGGCATTTGCATCATTAAATTATTAATGTGTTTGTCTTTCATAGTACACCTGTCCATGTATATATTCCAGTTAAGTTGCTTTGTAATTATGTAATTACCTGTTATAGCTATAGAATAACGAGTTACTCTGCTTATGTGTATCCATTTCTTAGGATATAGAAACAGGCTGTGTTAGTTACTACATGTTTATAGAGTAGCCAGGGTATCTGTTTGTGTTGCACTACAATGCGTTTACCAGAGACATGAAGTAATAAGCTAGGATAGGCTAGTAAAGAGTGTGAGTTGATCTTTTCTTGAGGTGTGATAGACTGTGACTGTTTAGTTTCCCTTAGTAGTTCATAGGCGCTTTACTATGTATGTATTTATAGGAGATGATCATTATGTTTACACTTACTATTCTGGGGATTCACTACTGCGATTTATATTACATTTATAGTGACACATTTTGAAGATATATTGAAAAATGTTGCTATTGTTATTTATTTCTGTTGTTAAGTGAATGGAGAATTTGTAATTATAAGCCATCTAGAGTACAAAGATAAAAATTTTCCAGCGCCTGTTAAACAGTCCAGTCGCACAGAAATCCATAGATATTGCATCCGGCGATTTAATTGGTATGTCTTCATAAAGAATACAATGAATTTCATTTTTTTCTCCAGTAGCTTGAGGTATGCAACAGTAAAATAGGAGGTATGACTGGAAGCCTTATCTTTGTGAACCTATACCCTGTTGCCCTCGTTTCTAGATGGAGAACCTTTTTCACTATGTTGCATATTGTTGCCTGGGGCACGTGGACGGATTTTTCACACACCATTAGTGGAATTCCCGCCTGTTACAAGACGGGTACTTTGCTAACCATAGCTGGAGTTCTACTTTTTTTACAGGGCTTTTTCTGGATGGCTCTGGTGTCTCAAAATAATCCACATTCCTTTGTTTTCCAGTGCCGTTGAGTACAATGGATATCTAAATTCTCAATGTGAAGACCTCTTTATGACCTGAGTTTATGAATATCTTGCATCGGAAAGAGCTCGTATACAAACTTCAAAAAAGGGTTCAATTTTTGTTGGCACCATCCTACTTGTAGAATGCCAAACAATAGCTTTGATACATGCCATTCCACTATAACTTTGTACTGGTTATCGCTGTCCCGTGACTTGCTGAGTTGTACATTCAAAATCGTTTCTTATAACATATTCAACCCTGTATGTTGATTTCTCATTAGTTTTATCCATCAACAAGTGCTCAAACTGTCCACCTTCTTCATAAAATTATTTTACATTGTACTTCGCTGTGACTTCGTCAGATTCCTATCTTCTCAGTCAATATCAGTCATAATATGTCCAAACACATTCTGAAGTAATTTGTCGGTTTATAAGGTTACCACGAACACAGACACAGTTTTTCAGTACACCTTAGAAAGTTAATAAAACTTGTTTCAATACCTACCATATTAAACTTCACCAAATTATTTATTTTAGTAAATCTTAGGTATAGTAATACTTTCACCACTCCCCAAATATTATACATAAGTTAAAGGTTTTAATTGTTCACAACTTGTACTAATGAGATACAAACATTTGATACAGATAGATTAAGTTAAAACACCTCTCTCATTACTCTATTTCAAATTTAAACATAAAACCAAAATCAGAATAAGACGGCCACCTATGCTTCTCTCCCAGTCTGCGAATAATCCATAAAACTAATTAAAATTTGAAAACCGTGGATAACGAAATATCAATAATTTATCAAACTCATTACTTAATTTCTGTAGTGCATATTGGTGTATAAAAGACATTTTAATACTAAAAATAAACGACGTTATAACATCAAAGTTGCTATTTTTCTTTAATTGGACACTCAACGTTCGCTTTACAGCTGCTTCTTCATGGACGAGTAACACCTAACTTGAAACCATCATTCTCAGTATAAATCCCCACCAAGTAAACTGACAGAAAATGTAAAGCTCTTCTCATCGAACAACTACGACCACAGATGAATAGGGACAAAGTATGGCGCCTATAGTTATAAGTATTTTATTTTTTCATCTTATCTTTTGTTATTTCAATCTGTAACTTTGATATAACTTTTGTTTACTACAGGTAGCAGTTTAATATTTAAACAATAAGCTTTACTACTTAATATGTCAAACGCACGTTGTAAAAATGCATGTTATAGATTATAATATAATTTATTATTTAAACCATTTGAAGCTATTTACCATCAATTATGGTTTGTGTTTTAGAGGAATACTCCTTAAGAAGCTGTAAAGCGAAACGTTGAATATCTAATTAAAGAAAAATAACACATTTGGTGTTTTAAGGTCGTTTATTTCTAGTATTCAAATTTCTCAAACTGTTTTTACCTTACATTAATTACAAATTAAAATTACATTACAAAAAGGGACATCTAATACAACATGACTTCAATTTTCAATTATAAATACAATACAAAACACTATACTCATAAGAAAAATATTAAAATCTCCATTTCTAACCACGTGCAAGTAATATTAGAAACTACAAACTCACTAGGCATAAACTCAAAATGAATAAAATTAATAATTAAGTTGATTTGTTAATTAAGCCAATACACAGGACTGACAGGTATTGGTTAACGTGATATTCTTGTCCTATAGTTTGAATACTTCTGGCTGACACTTACAACTATCGAATCATATGATATTTTTGTTATGATAGAATTTTGAAGTTCAGTGTGATATCAGTTAAACCTATGTATACACAGCCCACCTATAAGTAAATATAATGGTGTTTTATTAAATACGCAAACAAATATGAAACAAAGGGTACAAGGTTACCATTAGTATCTAGTGACTCTGCCATCTGTAATATCTAGGGAAGAAAAATTGTTGCATATATGTATATAATATTTAAAGGTCTGAAACTAGCACTCGTTGAATTACATTCAATTCCTAACAAATAGCTTGGAGAATGGCATCCCAGAAGTTAGTTGTTGGAAATATTATGAAGGCTGGAATACACGTACTCTGTAAGGACAATACTTGGTAATTAGCCTGGCCACGTTAAAGTGCTAATGTCCTAACTTTAAAGCCATTGTTTTTGGACTAGGGCTGAATGAGCAGGAGCTCTAATTTGCGCGAAAATACTGCCCTGTATGGTAAACTGATCAATGGATGTTGTTGGATAGATCACAGTTACATGGTATTTTGGTTATGGTGTTGGGTGCCGTACGGGTAGATGAACGATCATAATTAGTGGTATACGAAGGGATGGATGTTGCTGGATAGATCACAGTTACATGGTATTTTGCTTATGGTGTTGGGTGCCGTACGGGTAGATGAACGATCATAATTAGTGGTATACGAAGGGATGGTTAATGTTGCTGGATAGATCACAATTCTCAAGCAAGTGTACACCATCCCTTCGTATACCACTAATTATGATCGTTCATCTACCCGTACGGCACCCAACACCATAACCAAAATACCATGTCTTGTAAATAGTACAATGAAACTTCCTGGAAGGTTAGTCGCCAAACCCAGGTGTGTCTACTGTACTATAATTGTGCAAATCTGGAACCGTCGAGAAAAATTACAGGATCCCAAAAGGCCAGAGGATGTGACAGCATCTGTGATTCCCACTGCTATTGAGATACGATATTGCCTGGAGTGACGAGTGGCTTCCAACTAGTTACTCTGCCATTGTAGCCCATGATATGGAGATAACTTCTAATAGCACACTTGCACCCGTCCTGCAACAATAGCGGCTGTTTGACGTGAGTCACTCTTCACACTGTTTCTCACAGCACCAAGAGTCTGCCGTATTGGTTTTGGGTTCCCAGGCTATGGAGATAACTTCTAATAGCACACTTGCACCCGTCCTGCAACAATAGCGGCTGTTTGACGTGAGTCACTCTTCACACTGTTTCTCACAGCACCAAGAGTCTGCCGTATTGGCAGGCTATGCTTAAACTCTTATTTACCGATATAACTGGAACTCTATTGCAAGTGACCTAACAATTTCTAGTTGATTTTGGCTACCCTCACATCAGTCATCTAAACAAGCTTCTGAAAATATGACCAATTCTCGTGGCATAGCAGTTTGTATCCAGTGGTCTTTATCATATTTGTATTAATTTGCATATTACATTATGGAGATGGTTGATTTGTATTTATCGGTGGTGTTTATTTACTTATTTGAAGGCTCTGTAAATTATAATTAAGTAGTATGGAGTAAAACAAAATATTACTGGATTCTAATTGAAATATATGTAAGTTTGGGTTTAAAATCTATTACGTGTAAAAATATGTGTCGTCAATTTGGCGAATTCTGGCTGATGCTGCATAGCTTGTTTTGAATAATGTTTCGATTATGTTTGAAATATAATTATTTTTCATATAGAATTGTTTTAGTCTAAAAACCGCAGTTGTCTTGTAGTGTTACAATTATTGTTTTGTAATATTATCAAGTCTTGAATGAATATACCTTTAATTTTAGCAATTTCTGAATTGGGCCAACACTGATATATAACTATTTATTAAAATGATAAATTTTTATTCGAATTTATATTTAATTCCAATATTTCACGGTGCCGGGCATGGCCTAAAGGTTAGTCTGCCCTGACTGTGAGTTCAATTGTTCATGGTTCGCGTCCCGATGCCGCAAAATTCCACTTTGAGACCATAGGTGCGCTACAAGAATGATAGTTTAGTCTCACTGTTCGATCAAATAAGAATAGCTCAAGAGTTGGCGGTGGGTGTTGTCTACTAGCTACCCTTCCTCTAATTTATCAATTTAAAATTACAGACGATTAGAGCAAATAGACCTTGTGTAACTGGGCGAATATCCGAAACAAACAAATATATTACATATTCGTGTAGAAGCTGTCAGGGTTTAGTTGAAACTCACACACTGACTGAATTGTCGGGATCCCTAAGAATTGACAAAGTAATTTTGTAGGTTTGGGTTCCGACTGAAACTATATATGCAATTGTGAAATTTCTGCGTTCCAGTTGAATTTGTATTTATATTTTGTCCGTAATTTTGAACTATTAACTAGAGGGAAACAGTCAGTCAGCAGAACCTTAACACTCACCTTCCATGCTCAGGGATTGGCTATTACCATCACATTTATAACGTATACAGTTTTCATCCAAAACCCGATAACTTTGTATTACTAATAAGTTTCGAACCAGAATTGGACCTCTCTGTACCCAGTATCTAACATGTAGCTTCAAATGGAATCAAGATCGGGTTGGCCCTGTGCTATAGCTCCGGATTTCGGAGTTGGTAAGTGTGATTCGAATTAGTGAGTTACCACAAAATCTCCCATGCATTTTAAGCCATGGATGCGTTATGAAAAGGTGTCTTTAACATTTATTGTATAATTGTCGTGGATGGTTGAAATCATTATATTGTTAGAAATGTCCGGTTCTTGTTAAAACCAAAAAAAATGCCTCTTAAATTTTTTAAAAGTTCTAATTTAAATCGATAGGTCTATCTTAAATGATGGTTATATTCTGAAAGTTACACTTATGTAACAGAATTGTCGGGTTTTGGACGTAATCTATTGTGCGAGGTTGCATAGATCTAATTGAAACTTATGCAATCCTATAGTATTTGATATAAAGGATTTCAGGGGTATGGAATGCGCGTATTACATATTTAAAGATATCTTACCTGTCGATTGCGTCTACTGGGTTTCCTTTTCCCCCGATGCCACACCAATGTCCATAGAAAGCATAGAAATATGAATTACGGCCGGTGGTCCACTCCACCATTGAACCTAGTTCAAGCAGATGTCGTTTCACACGTCCTATATAGCACAATAGATCATTGAATAAGTTTCGTTACTACTATTCCATGTCCTATAAAGCACAATAGATCATTGAATAAGTTTCGTTACTACTATTCCATGTCCTATATAGCACAATAGATCATTGAATAAGTTTCGTTACTACTATTCCATGTCCTATATAGCATAACAGATCATTGAATAAGTTTCTTTCGTATTATTCTACGTCCTGTAACATAACAGGTCACTGAATAAGTTTTGTTCGTACTATTCCATGTCCTATAACACAACAAATCATTGAATAAACATTTTTTCGAAGACTATTAGGATTTTTCTGACTCATAAGCAGAGCTAGAGAGAACTAAGCATCGTTACAATGTCACATTATGATATGGTGGAATTTTTCTTTGTTTGAATTAAAGGGAAAGGCCACTTGATTTTTTACTTTCATTCCGAAAATTCCATATTACGTCAATGAAAGAATTTCACACTACTAGCGAAATATATGTTATATATATAAATAAGAAGGTAAAGAAATCAAAATATTTACAACCAGTCGAAACAACATGCCAAAGGTTATCAGAATTCTTCCAGTTCTTTGTGGCTTTCAAGTATTTCTCTCTCGCATTCTCTCTCTCTCTCTCTCTCTCTCTATATATATATATATATGGCCCGACATGACCAGGTGGTTAGGGTGCTAGACTCGCAATCTGGGGGTCGCTGGTTCGAATCTTCGTCCCACCAAACATCCTCGCCCTTTCAGCCGTGGGGGCGTTATATGTGACGGTCAATCCCACAATTCGTTAGTAAAAGAGCAGCCCAAAAGTTGGTGGTGGGTGGTGATGAATAGCTGCCTTCGATCTAGTCTTACACTGCTAAATTAGGGACGACTAGCGCAGATAACCCTCGTGTAGCTTTGCGCGAAATTCACAAACAAACAAACACTTCATATCAAACAGGCTCAACTTTTGTGACAATGTCTAACAAGCACTTAATACGAATTAAGTAACAAATTTATTACAATACCGAGATGGGACCTGCAATACTTAGCACTACTAAAAGTACATACTATAAAAACTAAGATAAGAACAACTTTATTCATCATCACACCAGGCGAATATATATATATGTTTATATCAAGTACGACTTTAATGGTTCATTATCTGAAAAATGTACACTGTTTAAAACTAAACTCGGATAATAAGTACAATTCTACACAAAAATAGAAAGTATGATGTTCGTAATAAAAGTTGGGCAGCCATCCCAGACATCTTCGACATTCTATATCATTCATAGTCTTTTCTCTATTCGTTCTGCCCCTGTTGATTAAATCAAAATATTCCGTTCTGTGTTAGTGAATATGGTTTTATTCAGCCCTACCTGATACCAAGCCTTCACAACTGCATAGTGATAAAACGAAAACCACAGAGAGTAGAGGTCGAAGAGTGGGAAGTAGTGAAGACATGTTTTTAAATGGGTTCAATATAACTTTTATGAATAATATCGTGGCACTTCGAGGTCTGATCAAGATTTATTTACGTTTGAAAGTATTATTTTAATCATACAGTTTTAAAAGCAATTTATCGGAAGAACAGCGTGCGAAGGTGCCTTTTCCTCGGAACAGCAGCTTTTCACGCTTGCGCAATAGTTCCAACTACGAGCATATAAACCATTGGCTTAGAACACAGTGTCGCTGATAAGTGTGCCATATCCGCTACAACAACGAATTCTAAAATTGGGTTCTCTTCTGAGAATGGGTGTCAAAAGTGACTACATATTGCATTCAGAAAATTAAAACTGAAAATCGATCATTTTAATAAGTGGAATAATGAAGATTGGCATAAAATGTAATGGTGGAGTTTGTGGGATTCGAAAGGAGCAGTTAGCTGTCTTACGTCTGATACTGTCTATTGATTATATGATAATTTTGAGAAAATAATAAAGGCTCAGTTGTGACTTAGTTATTAACAGTTGTTCACATTATTATTTTTTAGTTGTAGCGAATTATCATGACCACGATAGTGGTTCATAATTGAGATCGCAAGGAATTGCACAAAACCATAATAGAAAGTTCGGTCGAAAAGCACCTTAAACAGTAAATATTCAGTTCAAACGAAGCTTTAAAACCTTTACTACTGACTGCTATGGCTGCTCACATATCAAAATGCACAAAAAAGCACGCATGTTAGACTTATAAGGAAAAAAATCCACTCAAAACTGCCTGTTTGTAATTCTTTTTTATTTTACATAAGTTAAAAAACATCATAATTGTAGAGTAAACGGCGTTATCATTATCCCTTGAAGTTAGCTTTTTTGCAAATACCTGGCGTTCCTTTAAAAAACTGAAGTACAGGGTGAAACAGGAATTACCAGCCAACAGTA